AAAGGTTTTGTACGAAACCATTGCTACGAAACCCTTTTTTTGAATTTTCGTGAAGGGGGTTGATACGAAACCTCACTTTTACAAAACCAAAAAAGGATCTGACGGTGTACCGAGGATAAGAACCTTTTTTAGGTTCTGTGAAAAACCTATTTTTTTTAGAGCGTATGTGGTACAGGCGTGGTGCAGGTGTGGGTGTGAGTGCGCTCAGTTGAAAAGGCCATATACACCCACACTCACACCCTATTTTACGGCACCCTATATACGAAACCTTTTTTTTTATGAATAAACTTATCATCTTTGACAAAACCTAATTTCTACGAAACCTAAAAAGGTTTCGATTTCGTTTCAAAAATCGGAACCTTTTTGGATTTCGTGTGGCACCTTTTTTTCAGTGTACGGATTATTAAGTGTTGGTGAAAGTTTTGAAGGGAATTCATACACCAGCAAGTTACAATTTAGATGCCATCATATACTTAATGTTGACCGAGAGATGATCGGTAAATTCCCAATTTTAGCAATCCAATATTGACAGAACAGAAAGATAAAAATAATGTACCTTCTAAAATTTTTTCCTTATGGCTTCTACAAAGTTGTTATTTTTTTCGAACACAAATATGTCTTATGTTTCTTCGAAAGATAAATTCTAAATATCATTTTTGCTCATGCTCTTTGAATCATCATCTATTTACTGTTTAATTTGACAAAGGTAATTTCAATGCGATTGATCATTTAAGTTATAACTTCTATGTAACGTTTATCGAAGTTGTACCTGCGATACAACATACGTATATATCAATATATATATAAATACTTCATAAGTGAAGATATGAAACGATGCAGTTAGAGAGTATTATTGGTTTTCAGTTTACATAAGATCACAGTATCAGAAGGTCGTCAATAAAGATATTAAACAAAAATATGAAATTATTTACTTTGTCAATGTTATTAAAGGCATTATTTTTCTCTTTTTCTCCTCTGTTTAAAGTGAAAAAATTACCAATAAAAACGAAGCATTAAACTAAGCAAGACTCTTTTTTGATTACTTCATAGACTGTTTTCATTCGTGTTGACATATTGTGATCGGTACAAAAAAACGTTTCTTATAACTTCTACTCTTGATACGCACTGAGGAGAAAAACAATACTAAAATATTTGTTCAGCATTTAGGTATCCTTGAGAAAACTTTTGGTTGATTCTTCTTCATTTTCGAATTTAAAAAGTATCCATGTTATTAGCTGGTCGATTTATGGTATGTTGCGTGATTTTAGTTATCTTTATAATATTTTCAGTTAGTTTATCTATTGATATATCACATAAAAGGCAGCAGTTTATAAGTACGGTTCTTCCTATTTAGTTAAATACGTTTTTTTTCGCTTATTTTTTGTTTTAGGACACGAAATTTGGTATCGATTGTGGGGGTTGTCCTTTTTTGTCCTTGTCTTTGTTTTACGGACATCTGACTATGAAGTCCGAAACGGATTTCAGCTAGTTCGAATGCTCGGAATGAAAGTCGTTCAGATGCTCGTCAGGGGAAAATACCGGATGTTTGGAACTTAAAATGACAGATTTTCGGAACATAAACTGGCAGATGTCCGAAACCTAAAACGACGGATGTTCAGAAGAAAATCGAATTTTTTTTTATAACATAGCTTATATTCTTTTATTTCCTAGGAGTCTTTTAAAAAAACATAGGACAACAGAAATTATTTACACAAGTGAGATAAAAAGTAACTATTACAAGAGAAAATTTGTTTTTATGTCTAATGATTTTTACAGCATGTCTTGTTTTTTTCTTCTTTGAAGTTTCTTTCATATTGTCATCATCTGATTCATTTCCTTTTCCGTTTTTGGGTGTGGGTGGGTGTATTCAATTGCAAAGACCATACACCCCCAGACTCACACGCACACTCTTTCGCTTTTCTAAGAACAATAACCATTACATGACTCACCAAAGCAATTCGGTATGTTGCGAAAGTCATCGTTCCAGCCATCTATGTTCACGATACTAGTCTCTATCAGAAAGGAAATATTTTAGTTTTAATACTTATTCCCACTATCTATCTGTAAGATCTATCGCTCAGAGCAGTCATCCAATTCCGCAATGTTGAACATTCCGGAACCAGTTCCGCCCCCGGAATCAGTTCCTCGGATTCCGGAATTGCTTCGTCCGATTCCGGAATTAGTTAGTCCGATTCCCGGAATTCCACGGAATTCAGTCTAATTCCGGAATTAGGTGAAAGCGGAGTCACTGGGAACTCTTAGGAATTCCGGAATTGCAACTTGTATCACTATTCTAGCTTGTCTTACCCATTTTGTGATGATCCGATTCCGGCCCGGAATTGCATGGTGTGGGTGTTGCGGTAAGTGTTGGAGTCAGTGTGGGTGTCGCCATAAGTGTGGATGTGGATGTGGATGTTAGTGTAAGTGCACTGAATTCCGGAACCGTTGGGAATTAGGTGGAATCCGTTTGAATTCCGTGTAATTCCGGAATTGAATCGTAAGGAATAAACGGAATTCCTGGAATTAGATGGAATTGATCGGCAGTGATTCCGGGAATTCCGGAATTGTGTTGGAAGTGATAAACGGAATTTCGGGAATTAGATGGAATTGGTTCCGTGAGCGGAACTGGTTCCGGAATATTCTACATTGCGGAATAGGATGTATTCTCATCGCTCACGACTGAACTCTACGCTATTTACAAAAATCTAACTGTACGTACAAGAAGAGGTCGCTACATTCAGTAACTTAAAATATACTATATGAATGAATTGTTTTCCATGTTAAAAAACATACACCAAAATTCATTCCGAGCATCTGTCGTTTTATGTTTCGAACATCTGCCACTTCTTGTTCTGAAAATCTGCCACTTTAAATTCCGCACATTCGGTAAAACGATTTTCTGTTCAATATCCGATTTCGAACATCCGGCTCTTTAGCCGGATGTCCGGAAGAACAAGGACGAAAAGTGACAGACCCCGATTATGAAATTTATGTCTAAAATATTAATAGAAGCCACGAAATAATTGTAGTGATATATTGTCCTAGACTATATTTCAATGAAATCAATAATAGTTAGAGTGATTCATGTAGATTTCCTTTGGAATATTTCTCGCTTCTCTTCGATCATTATTGAAATACACAATTGAAATGTAATGAATTGAAGATCTAGCTGAGTTGTTATGAGGAACTTATTTCTTTTATTATCCGACTAGCTTGAATTTGTTTTATCACAATAGATTATTACTCGTTCAGTTAGCCTTATCAAAGAAACGAATCTATCACGACTTTTACAAGAATATATCATATTTGCAGTAGAGTCAAAAAAGATTTGTCTCCAATTTAATAAAATAAATATTTTAAGTAATTGTTACGTTGCTCTTGTATAATTGAGAAAATTACGAAAACATTTCTATTTAGTATTTGTGTACAACACTGATATGAATGAAAATTGTTCGATAGATATTGATAGATTGAAAAATCATTCTATCGTTTGATTCTGACTTTCCATCGGAGGGCTGTGTAGCTCGAAACGTCTGTAGGCTCATTTATGTTAGTGTAAACTAGTAACTTTTCTTCGTCTTACACGGTGGCAATTATTTTGCTGATGCAGGTAACAAAACGCGTAATTTAAAAACTGAGCTGCTTTTGTCTTTCATATGAGTTATAATTAGTCAGACAAACATTTTTACTCTTGTAATGATTTCTTTCAATAATAGGGTACTCGCCAATACCTATTGTGGTTTCTAATTATTGCAAGTTCGAATCTTGCTAATGCATTTCCAACCACTGAGGGTATGTTTTATTTTAATTGGTCTTCTTTTCCTAAACAATGTTCACATTAAATAATAGAAATTATCCCGATAAAAAACTCCTTTGAGGAACTACAAGGACGGTATAGGCGTGGCGCAAATGCAGACCCAATTTGTGATGCTCCTTGTACTTGTCAATGTAGTTCAACCGGAGCACCACAAACAAGTGAAGTAACATCAGTTGGCACAACATCATCAACCACATCAACAATAAGTTCTACAACAACAACATTAACAACATCCACCTCCACGTCGACATCAACAACGACATCCACCTTCACGTCGACATCAACAACAAGTACTTCGACGACCAGTACGAGTACCAGCACGACCAGTTCTACAACAAGCACTTCAACAACAAGTACTTCAACAACAAGTACTTCGACGACTAGTACGAGTACCAGCACTACCAGTTCTATAACAAGTACCTCGACGACTAGTACGAGTACCAGCACTACCAGTTCTACAACAAGCACTTCAACAACAAGTACATCTACGACAAGAACTACTACAAGAACTACAAGTTCTACAACGACCACAACAACAACAANACAACAAGCACTTCAACAACAAGTACTTCAACAACAAGTACTTCGACGACTAGTACGAGTACCAGCACTACCAGTTCTACAACGAGCACTTCAACAACCAGTACCAGTACAACAAGCACTTCAACAACTAGTACTAGTACGAGCACGACAAGCACGTCAACTACAACAACAACGACGACGAGCACGACAAGCACTTCAACTACAACAACAACGACGACGAGCACGACTACTACTCGCTGTCCTGATATATGTTGGTTACAAAATTGTGTAACTGGAAATACAGCTACGATACTTTGTCCGAATACAACTTGTGCAACTACCATAGTTCCAACAACAACAACAACAACGACAACGACCACGGTCACTTCGCTGATACCGGACTGCTCGGCTCTTCAAGCTGAACTCACACAAGTGAAATTAGGTTTAGGTATTGGCTTAGGTTCTGGTATGGCGATAACCAGTGGGTTAGCGGCGGGTAGCTATATTTATTTTACAAGACGGTAAGATTATTGTGTTTCTCACAACCAACATATATGCTGAACTATCTTTCTCGTTTAGTCTTGCACAATTACCATCATCAGGATTTATAGGAAGAGAACAATTCACTTCGTGATGATAACATACTCCCACGGTGAAGTGATTCTGGTTTTGACTTTTTTATATGAAGAAGCGAAGCAATCGAATAAAGAACAATGTTTATTATGCCGTGATTTCATTTTATTCAAGAATATGTTACTATTAAAATAACATTAGCTTCAATTTTGCTTAGAGTACAGCATTTCAACAACTTAATTGATAATGTGTGTTCCAGAATTATTAGTACTAATAAGTAGTATGTCAGTGTCTAGTTTTGAAATTTTTTTTTATATCTGTGTAGCTGTTAAATTCTATATTTTATTTAATAAGCGGATAACACGGCTTCTTTTGAAGAAAATATCAGCCGAAGGATCAACAATCGTCGATAACAGAGATGGACGTGGCAGCTAAACGTCGCACTCCACCCCGCGTGTGAAATATGTTTGTTTTAGGAATAATCTTTTTACAGGCACTTTTTAGAGTTACTTTTTTTTAATTTTTTGATATCAAAAGTCTTAAATTAAACAATTTTATATAGCTTCAAAGTAGAAAACTATAAGAATAATAGAAAGAAAAAAGCAATAACAATCGATCATATTTTGAAGTTATTTTCCGTATTCTTTAAGTTTTGCTAATAGTGAGAAACTCTAAATCAGAGAAATAATTTTAGATTCTTTTACATATTGAGTATTACTTACACTGTAAAAAATTCGTAGAATAAGAAACGCTAGTACTTTCGGAAAATTTTCCTAAACCCTTTAAGGGTTTTTGAGGAAAAGGGTATTTAAAATGAAACAAGGGTTTATGCGGTGAAAAAGAAAGGTTCATCAATATATCCTTCATAAAAAGGGTTTCTTATTCTATGGTTATGAGTTTATGGTTATAATTTCTATGGAAAAGGTTTTTTATTCTACGATGAAAGGTTCATACCTGTGTCTTTTCACAAAAAACGTTTTGCATTGCGTAACTAAGGGTTTATTGTTCTACTCTTTCATGAAAAGCGTTTATTATTCTACGTTCAAGAGTTAATTATTCTAACTTTTCAACAAAGCGCTCTCTCACTATCACTTGAAACATTTTCCTACGGTGGCTATTTCCAAAAACTAACATATTTCGATCGAGAAGAGTACTATCAATCAATATAAAGTTTTCGAAAATTGAAGTGTTCTAAAAGAAATCAGAATACTAAATCTTT